CAAAGACGTTTTAAAGTAAGCCTTGTTAAAGCTATGTTTCACCAGGAACAAAGCATTTCAGCAGATAAATATGTTTTTGTATTCTAATGTCAGACCACTTTTTTTATAGACATAATTCAGATTTCACCGTGCGACAGTAGCAGCTTTATTTCAGGTAAAGGTTCCATATGTGATCTTGTTCTTCGTTCAAACCATCAATAATCCCCTAAAAATGATAAAATGCACAGCAGTTCTGCCTGAAGCAACCGCCTGCTAGCAAATTAACTGGGTTGGTCTTTCAAAAGCCGTCTCTATGTGTGTTCCTCTCTACTTTATTTTTGTAATGAATAACGTTTTTATTTATCATCAAAATGAACGTCTTCTCTGTCAGAATCTGGATTTTCCCTGCAGTCTCAGGGGATCGGTGTTGCTGCATCATCTCCTGTGCACTTCAACAGGAAAAAGCACTTTTTACACCCCCTTCTTAACACCTTTGCCTCATGCCAGTAAATGAAAGAAGAACGGAAACTTCTTTCAGGCTAATAGAGGAAAAAGCGATGCGGGCGTCTATAAGAATTTTCACCCTTAATCAGACATCGCTTGTCTTATGCAATTTCCTTGAAATATTTCTTCATTTGGCTCTTTCTCTGTAGCGTACGTCTTCTATTTTTTTATATTTTTTTAGCTTTACAATAAATGAACCGGAACTCATCTGAAACCTTTGAGTCCAGGAAGACAGAATCATTGCCTCAAACTTGGCAAAAAGAAAAAAAAAAAGTGATTTCAGAGTGGTTTGTAATGCGACGTTTTCTGAATTATGCATTTTTCTGTAAAGATACCACAAAAATAAATAAGTAAAATTCTCCCATTCTGGTTGTAATAAAATGACAACATTCGGAACATTTCAACACAGCCGCCATTGAAACACCTACATTCTGGTTACGTCTTTAGGTTTTTCTGAGTCGCCCTCTCTCCTCCTCAGCCGGGGGAATCGGCCTCTACTTCGGCTGACATCGTCCACAGAGGAAACCTGAGCGGCTCAAGCTCCTTACTGAGGTCATGGGCTGCGGGATTAGGAGGACAGATTTACTCCTCCAAAGTGGGACAGCACATTTGATCGAAGTCTTTCTGTGAAGACGCTGACAAATAATCTGAATTTGGTGCCGAGACGTAAATGTGATAGTGTATCAGGGCAATGTCAGCATAGAAGGAAAATTTGGTTTAAAAAAATAAATAAATGAATAAAGTTCAGAAATTTTGAGATTAATTTCAGATATTTTCTAGAAAAACCTTGGTGATTTCTGAGTCTCAAATAACAAACACTTTCTCCAGAACGCTCCAGAACATTTTCATCTTTTCAAACTCAGAAATGTCCTTGATTTTTTTTTTTTTTTTCGATTTATGACAAAATAAATCTTCTACACTTTTTAGAATAGTTTTTGGACTTCTTAAACTCTGGCATGTCCTTGTTTTCTTTTTAAATTCCTTTTTATAAAATTCCTGAAATTAATCTCAAACTTTTTACGTTTTTTCCATCAAAGTTTTCAAATTTTCACACTCAGAAAAACCCCACCTTTATTTAAACCTAAGATTACAGGGTGGGTGTGAATCTATTATCTGGTCAGGCCTTTTTTCTGCGTTACAATAGAACAGGAAAGGTGAGGTTTCTTATACGTCCAATCAAAACAGTGAATGTGTGAGTAATTGTGTGTGTCATCATGACTCACTAAGTCATTCTGAGTAGTGGTGTGTTGACATTCTGTTGAAAAAGCATGTTAAGTAAATGGGGAGGTTCTAAATGTGCGAAGAACGTAAACAGAAAGTGATTGGCGTAAATGCTTATTCATATTTTTTCTTGTATAAAGCTGAGAACATTTAAATTCCTTTGCTCATGGGCGCCCCCTTTGTGTCACTTATTATGTCTGCAAGCGACATCTTCCACCAAACTTATATAGAAAGGACAAAGATTTTAAAATGTCAAAAATAATTTCTGTCTTTTTCACATTTGACAGTCTAACCTAGTTATAAAGCAGTAGAAATTTTCATCCATCCACTGACTTTCTCTGATCATAGATTTGGTCACAACCTTCACGGCTTTCTGTCTTATAACCAGATAAAGACAAACACTTGTGTGAAGTGTGCTCAAAAATAACAATAATATTAATTTAAAAAATTAATAAATAAAAATTTCTTATTTTATCTGTAATTCAACTTACGCAAAAAAAGGGATTTTATGTTAAACGGCCTGCCATAGTGTCATAAACTAGATTCTTTGGTAACGTTTTGGTTTTGTTTCTACTCTGAGTGTATTGTTGCGTATGCTCCTATTGACGATGAATCGACTACAAAATCATTTGACGATTATTTCAACGATCGATTTTTATCACGTTGCATCCAATCAATCGTTTCGACACTACTGCACGCTTTACAGGTCGGAGGGACATGGAGTGTCTCCCATGAATAACCAAGTTGCTTCAGAGTATTAGAGAGAATTGAGACATTTGTCTGTGCTAATATCAGAATACGCAGGGAATCTGTAAAGCATTCATTTAAAATCTCTTGTGTAATCCAGTTATACCTGGAAGGTAACCTCATCCTTCTTCTTCTCCGTCTCTCGGCTCCGCAGCATGTCCTCCGCTCTAACTCGTCACGTGGTCTGGCAGTCCGAGGGGCTGGTGGCCTTCCTGAACGCCCGGCCGTGGACGTTTAAAACAAAATGGGAATATTGATCATCGATTAATATTTAAAATGCTCAAAAATGTTAAGTTGTATGTGTGCTGTTAAGTGGCGTTATTAAAACCAAAGAGCAATAGTCCAGTGACATTAAACCTGCAGTAATTGATAACAATGTGCCGTCTCAATTTTAAGTTATGCTAACAGTGCCACCTGGTGGTCAAACAAGGTATTGTTTTCAATTAAGTATTTGTCACTTCAAGAGATGACATTACTCTGCGCACCATACGGCGGAGATATATATATATATATATATATATTATATATATATATATATATATATATATATATATATATATATATATATATATATATATATATTCCCGTCTAAAAATTAAAGATTAGACAGAAAAACCCATCTGATCTTTAAATATAGTCATTATTTCAGACTTTGGCAGGAAGCCGGAGCGCCCGGAGAGAAAACTGCAAATTTCTTTTTTATATGTCATTTAATTACAAAATGTATGACTGACATTTTGTAATTACGTGTCAGAAATACATTTAATTATTTCTGAGCTTTAATCTGGAATAAAGGCTCTAGGGAAGAGAGTTATGAGAGAGGGGATTCAAACCCAGGACTTTGTGGCTACAAGGCAACAGTTCTCCCAACTGAGCCACTGTGCAACTGTTTTGTTCACAAAATTAATGTTTTTATTCACATCTAAGCAGAATTTAGAGGCCAATTACCCAAACAGTCATGATTTTAGACTGTGGCAGGAAGCCGGAGCGCCCGGAGAGAAACCTGCAAACAGGAAACCTGTCTTATCTTTTTACCCATTGATCCCAGAAAATTTTCAGAAACAAATTTAGAAATTTCTAGCTCCTCTCAGCTTAAACGCTTTTGAGAGGAGGGGCTGGTGAAACTTTTATTTCAAATCTATCTCTTCCTTTCTTTTTCGTAGACATACAGAAATCCCCTCCTGTTCATGTCTTCACTGCAGACAGCCGCTGCAGTGAAGACATGATCATCAATGGCTTTTACTACCTGAGCTCCGTGAGGTATGCATGTGTAGAATTTGGATTTGTCAGAACCATTGCAGATGACCGATGACAATTTGTAGACTTCTGGTCCATGTTCTCCCTGTACAGTGAGGGACTGGTTGGGGTCAGTTTATTGCGCTGGCCTAGTCTGGCTGACTGCGGCAGGTGGAACACCAACACATTGTTGTTCGTCAGGCAGTGCTTGTAACTCAGCTCTGCTCCACAGCCAGGACAAATTGTTTTGAGCCCTAAAGTTAACCACCGTCTAAAAAGTGTTTGGATGTTGTCCTCAAAACGAGGTGTTGGCAGTTCAATTACAGGGCCATTGCTTAAGACTCCAAACAATTAGCCTGGCATGTGGAGCAGCTGCCCTGACTGAACAACTCTGTGTCAGTCTTTCCACCAAACGAGTCCAGCCAGACTAAAACCAGCTCCACCAATGATCTAACTTCGAATTCCCCGCCCTTTTCCAGGTCCCTCACTGTCAGTTCTTCCAGGATTGGCTTTATCTCCTCGGGAGAAACATGTTTGCCGGGATTGCGAATTGCTGATAGAATTAAACCAGAGCAGGAGGGAATTGACGACGCCTCCAAGAAAATCTTCTCCTGAGCGAGACATCGCTTCGTCTCGCTCAGATTCAGGACAGATTGCAAGGCGGCGTTCACCCAGCTGTTAGTCAAGTTATTTGAAAACTTGCAAAGGTTTTCTGAACGTCCCTGTCCTCTTCGGTGTCCGGTGGAGCTTCTGTCATCTGCATCAACGTCCCCCTCCGGGTCCATTGATCCTTGTATACTCATTCACTGTAATGTCTATGGGAAGTGAAAACTAAACACTCTATCTCCATGCAAGGAAGGCCACGGGAAAAACAGCGAGTTCCCAAATAACTGTCTGGGGAAGTTCAACAACCCTGGAAAACTTACTTCAGTAGACACATCATGTTTCATTAGTTTGTACACCGTTTTCAGCTGCACAGAAAAACACCTGGACTGTGAATCAAAAAATATTACATTTATATTATACATAAACGAACATCATTTAATATGAAAAAAACCTCTTCACCAGCCAGACTTGCATTGTCCCCAACGAGTTTGCTCTCTTCCTCAGAGAGAACTACCCCAGCCGGGGCAGAGCTCTCTGAGGGTGAGAGGGCTACCCCAGCCGGGGTAGCCTGGTCGTTGGGGACCCTCACAGACTCAGTGGCTGAAGAAACCTTCCCCGCCGGGTCGGTTTCTTCCATGTCCATTCCATTCAAAGCTGAATCCGAGTCACTAAAGTAATCAAATATTTTCTCAATGCCTGTAGTGAGCATGTATCCGAGTCCCCAGCCAAGCGGCAGGGCAAACGGCACGAGAGCGTGAGAGAAATTAATCATATCTAAGAAATACTGAGAATGTAGGCGATGTCTGGATCCTGAATGTTCAATGTCTTGAGATTCCAACGTTTAAAGGCTCAGAACATCTTTGATCTATTGTGATGTATGTGATGTCATCAATGACCTCATCAATGAACTCACTGTAGTTCTGTGGCACGGTCTTCCTTTTGATCGTTGCAATGGAAACAATCAGATCAGTTCTGCATGTTTCAAATTATAGATGAAGTTGTGACTAAATATAGAACTAATTTTTAAAAATTTATTTAGTATAAAGAGATTAACGATAGATTTATATTTGACTGAACTGTCAGCAATATTTCTACACTTGAATTACTCGTCTGATCTTTAGTTTGTTTGACACAGTGCAGTGTGAAAGTGAACGGCTGAAAATGTAATAAATGTTGCATTTTTGGCCCCAAGTCAAACCGAGCTGTAACAGAATAGAAAGTATTCAGGGAGAAGGAAATAATAGGAAAGATCTAGTACTTGAAATTCAACATAGCTTATTTAGATTATATGGAGGTGGCATTGATATTTGGTTATATTGGGTGCCAGCACATGAAGGTGAAAAGGCAATGAAAGGGCAGATAAATTAGCAAAAAGGGCTTCAGATCAGGCAATAACGATTAAAATACCTATTGGGAAAGGGGAAGGAAAATCAATTATTTAGAATAAAGACATGGAAATATGGCAAAAAAGGTGGAATGAAGATAAGAAAGAAAGGAAATTATATAAAATACAGAAGTCAATATTTAGTAGAAATATTAAGGAGAGAAGTAGAAGGGAAGAAATAATAATGATTAGATTAAGAGTAGGGCATACATATTTAAATGATACTTTATATTTAATAGGGAAGAAAAATAACGATATGTGTGAAGAATGTGGAGAGAAAGAAAACGTAGAACATGTATTGATGAACTACAAAACGTGAAAGGGAGAAATTGAGAAGAATAGTTGGAAGGACAGATCAAGAATGGCGTTTGAAATGAATACTGGGAAATAATGGAAATATAATGGATATTTGCATATTAAGGAAAGCATTATTTATTTATCTTCAAAATACAAAATTGAAAAATAGAATCTGACTGATGTAAAATACTGTTGCTACACACTCGTGTAAAGTAGGTGGCGGTATGTACCTTAAAGTTGCTTGCGATCCGCCATAATTGAACAGAAGAAGAAGAAAAACTCTGTCCGCATCCCTTCCTTCTCTGGACCGGGACTTTCTGAGGCGGGTTCAGAAGTGTTGGACCGCTCGGGTCTCGGATGGTTTTTCACCCCTACAGGCTGCATGCTAGTTCGGCTCCTTTTCCGCAGGTGAGGGTGAACTTTAACCTCTGGCAGGTTGACTGAATGCGCAGTGGTCTTTGCGTGTAGAAAGGAATATTCTTGGTGGCGGGATGATACATTATAAATGCTTATTTTGTTAAAACAATGTGTGGCAACGGGAGTGGTTCTGAAGGCGGTCCGGCTCCTGCTTTGGAGGTTCGGCCTTCGAAATGAAATGACGGCTTTTCTTTTACTCCGAGAAACTCGAGGCTGAGGGGGAGTGTGACGCCATGTCGCGGGGTCGCGCATCGCTCCAAACTGTCGTAAATTAATGAAAAAAAAAAACGGACTGAAACAGGAAACTTTTGAAGGTAATTCGTGACATTATCATGTTTCTTAACCTGCGTGCCCAGTTGGTTTTCCCCCCAAATATTGTCTTGTTGATATGAAACTCATACCAATCACATTTCATACAATCAATAAACAATTTGTGGAATATTTTGCTTTGCCGAATCATGCGTTCCCCTGCTAACATACTCACTTCTTCTCCGAGCTACTAGTCAAAGTTACATATTAATAGGACACAAATGAGGGAAAATAGACCATGCAGATATTGGCAGGCGCAGAAATCGTATTGCCAAAAAATGCATCTCCTCCTAAATTAAAAGACTTAAAGGTGACATGCAATTAATCGATTAGAACTAGTTTTTCATTCAACCGCTTCCCAGAAAAGAGACTAGACTTCCTTTATTGTCATTGTACAAAAAAAACACAAGGTGAATCTTGACAACGAAATGTCGTTACTTGGCTACCAGTGTAGCAGAGCTAAAACCTTATACTACACAATAAATAAATAAATACAAGTGCCATAGAATACACAGGTTCAGTGTTGTGAACAAAACTGAACTAAAGTGCATGTATTGACCATGTCCATGGGGGGGTGATTTGGTTTGTGAGTGTGTGGAGGGGTGTTATGTGGCGTTAAGCAGTCTGATGGCCCGGGGGAAGAAACTGTTCAGTAGTCTGGTTGTTCTGCAAAAGTTAGCTTACTCTGACGTTTGGAGTTCAAAAAGTGGTAAAAATAAAAAGAGTTCCCTAAAACCTCCGCGATCACACCGGACATTTGATTACCAACACATCCGATGTGTCGTAATCACTTAATCTAATAGGAGGGTTTAGGGAAAAAAGGGATCTAAACAATTTATTGATTAGTGATTGGGCAGTAAAAGGTGCTGGACTTGAGTTTTTTTCTTTTTGTTTGCTCGTGTTTTTTTGGGGGGGGGGGTTGAACAGGCGAAGCTGAAACTATGATACTTGATGGGATTTTGAGTTGTGCATCTTCACAAAGTTTTTTTTTCTTTAGTCTTAAATGCAAAATGTGTAGATTCTTTAGTACAGTTTTGGTTTTATTTCTGCTCTGAGTGTATTGTTGCGTATGCTCCTGTTAACGATGAATCGACTACAAAATCATTTGACGATTATTTCAAGGATCGATTTTTATCACGTTGCATCCAATCAATCGTTTTGACACTACTGCACGCTTTACAGGTCGGAGGGACATGGAGTGTCTCCCATCAATAACCAAGTTGCTTCAGAGTATTAGAGAAAATTGAGACATTTGTCTGTGCTAATATGAGAATATGCAGGGAATTTGTGAAGGACTCATTTAAAGTCTCTTGTGTAATATCTTTTAATGACATTATATGATAAAAAGGTAACCTCATCTTTCTTCTTCTCCGTCTCTCGGCTCCGCAGCATGTCCTCCGCTCCAACTCGTCACGTGGTCTGGCAGTCCGAGGGGCTGGTGGCCTACCTGAACCCCCGACCCTGGACCCCGGGCTCCGTGATCCTGGAGAGCAGCGCTCCGGGCAGCGCAGGAGGCAGCATCTTCCACCTCGGTGAGTCCGAGTGCTTGACCTGGCTGCTGGGGGCGAGGAGCGTCGCCGAGCTGCTGTGTGACAGGCTGGGTGTTCGGAGGTGTGCTCTGGTCAGCAGACCCCACAGAGACAGGCCTGCTCAGGTGAGAAGAATTACTCTGGAGGAAAAAATAAAGTCAGATTTAAAGGATTTGTCCTTGGCCGTGCGGGCTAGTTACCATCAGAGGACGTGCAAATGGAGTTAGAATTCTTTCCGTTGCAAACTACGAGTCTATCGGACGATTCCAGCTGCAAAATCAATGCAAATTTATTTTGCAGAATCCAAACGAACTTGCCCAATCACTGACTTTTAGAAACTACTGTTGTGAAAGCTACAACATATCTGCAGGCTAACTAGCTAGATCACTATGGATACAGCCTCAGTGTTAGCTTGTTACGCTGCAGCTAACAGCTAAAACAACAAATATTCTTAATTAGAAAGTTTACTTATTAAATCTACCAGCCGCTTATTAAGGTTTATTGCCCAAGTCTGTCCTTCATATCTTAACCATACTGATGAATGTCTTACATTACAGTATATTACTGTATTATTTTTTGCTGTCATTCAATAAAAAAAAAGCCGCAGTGGTCACAGTTAACAGAAAAGCTAGTTGCGCTTTAAGGTTAGCACAACTAGCTCTGTAGCGGATGTTAGTTTTGCTAATGCTCATAAAGTAGAACATAAACATCCAGCTGCTCTAATAATGATTAAGTTAATAACCAAAACTTAAGTGTAGATGTTGAAGTTTAGTCAACATAAAGTTTACCAGAGAGCCGCGTCAAGTTAGTCCTGTAGAATTTACCCAGAAAAGTTCACTTGTAGAAAGTGCGCTAAACGTTAGCAAAAGAGATAGACGACAGTTAGCGCCAGTGCCCACCACTAACAAGAAGAGGGATCACAGAATGTGTTTTTGTTCTGTAAATATGTTACAATACCGTAACCTAAAACTGTTATTACTCCAAGGTAGTTTGTTGCTTGTACCAATACTAATGAAATTGGTCATATTTTATGTTTTTAAGGTTTCAGTTGCTGTTTCTGAACTTTTAAGTGTAACTTTCGCTGTGCATGTCTGAATCTTAAATACTGGAACGTGAAAGTAAAAAGTGTCTTCTGCATATTTTTTCCACTTCAGGTATTCTTGGTTTGCAATGCTTTGGTTGATCGAGTTGACTTCGCTTTGCTCCCAACAGATCCGTGTCCTGCCGCTCCACGGTCTGGACGCAGAGTGGCGCCCCCACCTGGCTGGAGAAGAGGAGTACAACGCTCACGACCCGGGATACTGCACTTCCAAGTCGGCTCCTCGATGGAGCGACTCCAGCCTGACTGACGTTCAGAACCGAATCCGGGCGAGGCTGCCGCTCCCCGACGCACCGCCCGATCTCACGTTCCTGGGCGACGACCCGGCTCACGCCGGCCTCTTCTCGCGCATCGTCCGAGGGGAGGAGAAGCAGTGGCGCGTGTGGGAGGACGAAGGCCACGTCGCCTTCCTCACTCCGTTCCCCAACTCCCCCGGCTTCACCGTGCTGGTTCCGCGGCGACCTCTGACCTCGGACATATTCAGACTGCAGAGAGGAGACTACGAAGCGCTGGCGTCGGCCGCCAGGAAGGTGTCGCTGCTCTTGGAGGAAGGACTCGGCGCCTGGGGGGTGGGGCTTATTTTCGAGGGCTTTGAAATCGACTACGCTCACGCCAAGCTGATTCCGCTGCCGTCACCCTCGCCGTCAGGGGAAGGAAACGAAGCCGCCGCGCCTCGCTCCCCGCACTTCCACCCCACTTACCCGGGTTACGTCACGTCAGAGGACGGACCTGAAGCTGACCCGGAGAACCTGAAGGAGACGCACGCTAAAATTACTGGAGCTTAATGTCGCTGCGTTCAACTCAAGGCTTTTATTTTTTTGACCAATCACAAAACTGTGCTTGTTTTCTTTCAGCCAAACAAGCATGTAAATGATATAAATAATCAAGCAAATGTTTTATCTTTCCATCAAAAACATTGACTTTTCACTCAGAAATCTGATTAAAATAATGTGAATATCAACATTCCGGTAAAAGTTGTGATCTTTCCGAGTGAGACTCCAGTGTAAGAATTTTAAATAACTTTTTATTTAAAATAAATGAACAAAACAAAACTCTTGGTATTGATGATACATTTTTAGACAAACCAATGATTAACTTGATCACATATTCAACACAAAAGTTGCACACACACACACACACGATGCCCCCCACCAGTAATTAAAACAAAAAACAAATTCACACGTTATTAAAGTGAGTAAACAGAAGGATAATTGCTTGCAGTGCCACATATTTCCTGGAATATTTATTTCCTGACGTATTTAGTTAATCATCTTGCGTAAACTATTAAATCCCTCATTACATCACTCCTAATTGGTTCCACTGAGCATTTCTTGTTATGGAGCTAAATTAATTAGATCCTACGTCCCGTGAAGTGTTTTATAAACCCCACGCAGCTTTAGTTTCATTAAAAATAAAAGTTTTACATAAGAGTTTCCGTAGCAACCAGCAGTGAAACAATTCAGCTACAAACACCGCTGATAAATAATAATTTATTTAAACGAGCTGCAAGACAGGATTTTTTGTTTTAAAGTCGGTTTAATAGAAAGCCTTTAATATTTTTAACATCATTTATTTGATGTACAATTTTTTTTTTTTTTTTTTGCTAATTCAAATTGGCTAGTTTCAATTGCTATCGTGAGATTCAAAGTGAACGAGTCTTTTTATTGCAGCAATGAGCCGTTTAGGAGTGAATGAGTCCAGTCTTTTCAATGGCAAAACAATAAATACATTTTCAATTGCAATTATGATTTTAAGTTGTACTTTACCTTTTGAGTTAATCCAAAGTCTCGAGGAATGTCTAATTGGCAGGAAGGACTGGTGATGGGAAACAAGGTGATTTATTGTGTTTATTTAACTCCTTGTCTCTAACTGAAGGAATTTATTTCAGTGGGATCAACGATCCTCGTTTTTTCAGCACGAGATCAATGTGATTATCTTCATTAGTCTTTTAGTGAATAAATAATATTGAGGGAGACGATAACAAAATCTAAGAAACAGACGTTTTGTTGGGATTTACCACGACGGCTATTTTTGCTCGAAGACTCTGGCGTGCGCCTGCGCTGACCTCGCGCCCGGCCGGGGGGCCTAAACCTTGACGTCGGCCGGGGCTTCCGAGGCCTTCTTGCAGCAGGGGCCGCTCAGTCCCTCCGACTTCGAGATGTAGAGCAGCGGCTCGATGCTGCAGCTCAGGTCCATGACGGCGAACACGCTGATGCTGATCAGACAGAGGTACTGGAAGCGCGTGTAGTAAGGCACGAAGGGCATGAAGGCCACGGGGGGGAGGTAGTTAAAGACGATGATGCCCAGGTTCTTCAGCACCATCTTGAAGGCCCTCTTCTTCACCGGGTGCATCTTCTCCTTCCCGACCACCGCGTGCCGGAGGACCCAGATGACGGAGATGTTGCAGAAGATCATGACGGCGAACGCGAAGAGGATGACCCCGCCGAAGATGCCGGTCACGCTCAAAATGCCGTGGATCCCCTTGATGATGCTGTAGGGCATTATTAAACCCCAGATGATGATGCAGACGCAGACGCGGGTGATGGTCTCTTGGTAGCTGGAGAAAAACACTGGGTGTACGACGGCCATGTAGCGATCCACGCAGATGCACACCTGAGGGCAGAAAGAACGGTTTAGCATTCTAAACCGTTCTAAACCATATCGATGGGTTGGTCCAAATGGTTTTCCACTTGGATCCGCTTCCTTTGAGGATGTCTCCAACTGGCACTCACTGAGAGTGTCTGTAATCAGAACTGTGATTATGATGATAATAATAATAATAATAATAATAATAATAATAATAATAATAATGGAGGAACTGGGCTCCTGTCTAAGAAAGAAATTCAAATAATTGACGGTTTAGCATTCTAAACCGTTCTTTAGAATTCCAAAGATTCTAAAGATTCTAAAGAAAGGCTCTATTCATTTATTTGGCTATTATTATTTCACTACTACTTTTGAAAGCTTACAGTTAATAATAATATAAGGATTCTATACCAAATCTAACTAATCTAATAATACTGATATGTAGGCCTATTTCTAAGCCCCACTCCTCCATTACCATGGTTGCTTTGTTCCTCACAGTCGCAGCAGGAGGTCAAGGTCAAGGAAAACTTACAAGGAAAAGTGGCGCCATGTCCTTCACCCCGTACGCGATCCTCTGGAAGATCCAGATCTGTTCGTTCTCCAGCTCCAGCCTGTTGACCAGATCGATGGGGGTCGTCAGGCAGAAGTAGGCGTCCAGCACGGCCAGGTTGAGGAAGAAGATGTCCGACGTGGAGGTGTTCTTCTTTTTCGAAGCGATTTGCCAGATGACGAAGATGTTGCTGGGCGTGCCGACGACCAGGTTGATGACCTTGCACGCAAAGTAGAAGGCGAAGGGCTGAGGGGACACGACGCATTCTGGGTATTTGTACCAGAGCGGGCGAACACGACCCCCGGCGCTGGTCGAGTTGTCGTAAAGGCTGCTGTTGGACATGTTTTAAATCTGGAAGGAAATTCTAAAAAAAAAAAGAAAAGAAAGTTTAAAAGTTGTGGTTCGTCATTCATGTCTGATCCATTGAGACGATCCTTCATAGAGAAGCATCTCGTCAGACGCCTCACCTCCACACAGCGCCGACCTTCCTGTCCTGATGATCACTGGGACCAATAACTCCCTCTGTGAAGACCAGATGTACAGTTTCAGGACTTCAGATCACGTGATTCATAATGTTGAGCTCACTTGTGATTGGTTAGTTGCATCCGATCGCTGTCTCCAGTGACCGGATGGTGTGGAGATGGATGGTGGAGCAACTTTTTGATACAACGTGCAAACCTGTAAGTTTTTCTTCTTTTTTTGGCGGGTGGGGTTGAAAATGACGTTTTAGGTTCAAGACTCTTTAGTTGGGAAATATAACAAGAAGCCACCAACTGGACGGTAAGTTTCATGTTTCTCCAGGCAGCGTGACGATTCTCCCATGAGCATCTGATCTGCAGCAGCTTCGTCTCACTGATGCAACCTGGAGCCGTAAACAGCTGATGTAAGGTTCTGCAAATGAGAAATCTAACGCAAGGTGTTACCGCAGAGCTTCCACCGAGGCGAGGAGCTTCGCGACGGACACGAATGGATGGATGCCCGGTTGATGTCGGGGCCCCCCGCGGTGCAACATGGAGAGACGTGACTCCTGCTGGAGGTCTCCATAGTGACAGAAGATGGAGACTTCTGCAGATCTTCAAGTCAAACAAACTTTGTGTTCCAACCTCAAAAACCATTATATTTATTCTGATAGTTTAGGAGTAGCTGGTTATACCTGTTTTTTTATTTTCAAATTGAGTATTATGTTCGTCTGCAGCCTCCAAACTGTTCAAATCAACATTTGATTACATCTTATTTCTCTTCAACTGTGCAACAAGGTGGTGCAATGACTAATTTATCATTCAGATTATTAATAGCATTTTATGAGACTGAGAAAAACTTGTACATATACATTGTTTGTATATGTAAAAATACAAATACATTTTTTGTATTTAATGTACAAATATAATGTATGTATCGTTATTCTTGCTACACGACCTAGACAGAAAAAAAATCTAATGGTGACATTTGTCTTAGTTCAAACTTTTCCTGTTTATCTTTTATTCATGATCTGTCAGCGTAACGTTTTCTTTCCATTTGTTTCCCCAAGCAGATTTTTTTCCAACTCTACCAATTTCAGCAGGAAGGAAGGACAAACAACAACAAACTGATGTTATAATCCTTTATTAAACAACAACCTTGTCAAATTTCCTAGTCTGCTTTTCAAAATTGAAGCAGCCGGTTAATTTTTCTGCTCTGTTTTTATGACGGAGAACAGAAAAAAAGCAAAAATATGATGTGTTTTTTCCCCTCCCCCTCCCCAAACTTTCTCACACAGATTTATTTATGCAAAAGCTCAAGAAGAGTTACACACGTCGAGCTGTCGAGACAGGAAAGCCGGTAAAAAGAACTCAACATCAAAATAAAAACAAAACAAAAAAAACATTTCCAACATAAACGCAAGCATTATGTTGTAAAGATTTAAGACATTCGCTGTTTAGTAAAGCGCATTTAGTAAAGGGACAATCAGTTTACTTAGCTGATAAAAAAAATAAAAATGGAGATTCAGTCTCTTTACTTCAGTTAACATGAGGATCAAAGACACAAAGCTGGCTGGCTGTTTTAAAACGTAACACTTTGGTTCGGCTTCACCCGACCTGTTTGATTCTGTTTGTGCAGTGACTTGTAAAAATGGGTGATAACAAGTCAGACACGTGTGAAAATACATAAAAATCGCCTTCAAGCAATCTCAAACCTGTGCTGCGACCTCTCAGAAGAAACAAATCCTGAGTTTATTTTTGTCTAGATTTGAAAAGGTGGGTAGGAATGAATTATTTTCCACCTCATCCAGTGCAGATCTGAGTAAATTAATACATGTTCCTCTTCAAAATCTTGTCTAAATCTGCTGCACGACATGTAAAAGGAAATGTACCGGCAGTTCTGCCAATGAATTCAAATTCTGATTGGGTTCTGAGAGTTTTTAAGGTCTTAAGAAAACAGTTGTAGTCAAGTCTATCCTTCAAAGCAGATCATATAAATGTATAAATTATATTTTTGTCTGACAAATAAAAAAAAGAAGAAGCATTTCAGCTTGAAAAGTTCCTATAAACTCCTCAGCACAAGGAAACGGAAATGGATCTTTCATGCGATCAGCATGGCGTCTTAAAAACGATGTTCAAGTATTTCAAGAACCAGAAATTAAATAAGCACACTAGAGTCTCCTAAAAGAGTGCAAAATATAATCACACAAAGCTGCATATTTTATTTTTTCTCCTTCTTTTTCAACAAGAAAAAATACTGATTAAATATGCTCCCCTGCTGCCTGCCATCATTCTCACGAGTCAATCAAAATGTGACAGATCATGGCGGTGAGAGAAAAATCCAAAATTAATTTCAGTAAGGCGTCCAACATGGACAGAACCAGTTAGCCACAACATACTTTTTTTTAATAGTTTTGACATCTTATTTGTGTCGCAATTTTATTTATTAATTTCGTCTTGCTCAGTTGTTTTATAATCAAGAAGAGCTAGCAAAACGAAACACCAACTTAACTAGGAGAAAGTTCTGACGTATGCTTGTACACTGAACCACGAAGCAGAAAAATACTCATAAATAGTTATAATCAATAGCAAAATATTAAAAAATGACCTAGTGGCACGCTCATAATTGTAAGCATAAAGTTACCAGAACCTCATGCTGCCAAAAGGTTTCGCCAGGCAGACGTTTGGTCAAACTTCATTCTTCTGTCCGCTAAGCTCATTGCGCGCTGCACAAAGAGCTCCTCCTACTTTAATATTACCAAAAAAAAAACAAAAAAACAACAAAAACAAAAAAAAAACCCTGCTGCAACAGGAGCTCCAGGAGTAACATTACTCAACACCTTTTCAGTAGAAATGAGTCCTTTACTCATCGGACAATAAGGGAGAACTTTCATATCTTTGAACACGTGATGCAAAGGGATTCTCAAACGTAGGCGATCGTTCCGTGGACACGGAACCGGTAGAGACACGTGTACTCCATGTGACCCCAGTTGGAGAGAACTCGTAGCTCCACGAACCGATACACCTCGTCACTGGGGTTCTGCGCCAGAGCCGGGGAGAAGAAGACAACGGGACGAACCCGGAGAGAGGTCAGAGGTTAACGGAGACTGGGACTGTATTCTGTTACGGTGGAAACAGAAACGATAATAGTGCAACGGGTTGTGAGGGATACTGCAGACAGAAAAGTGAAGGAGGAATGCATATCTGCCGAAAGATCTCAGAAATTGAAAGAGTTCGAAAAGTCAAGAGTTTGCTAGAAAAAAAAAGTAAAAAAATTTTTGCAAGGCAAACATTTTCCACTTTGATGCTCTGAAATCTCCATGTTTCTTTCTAGGAAATTTCTAACATTAATAGAAAGTTTTTTTTTTCTAGAAATTTTGGACTTTTTAAACTCAGAAATTTAGAAGTTCTTTTCTTCAAAAAATCTGAAGTTCTTTTGTTAGAAATTTACTCCTCTTTATGTATTGACCGTTTCAATCTGCAATATCCCTAATGCACCACCGTGTAATAGAGACCAGTCTGAACTTACAGGCAGCTTAAACGTCTGAGTCGACTCGCCGTCTTCATCATAAAAAAACGCCCCGAGCAGCGCTCCTTCTTCTGTGTCATTTTTCAATCCCTGGAGGAGAAAGAAACAGAGGAAAGCTGCTCTTACGGAAGCTCTTTCTAAATCACAGTGATTTATAATAATAATAATAACAGCTGGCAATACACACGTCACCTATTAATGCAATTAATCACATCGCTTTTTTAACGTTGTTTTTTAAACATACGAAAGTCCTGAGCCGGAACCTTTGTTTTGTGGCGTGTTTCTGGCGGTGCCGTAAATCTGACGCACAACTACAAACAGCAGCGATGGTTAACAAAGACACTGGGAGTTTATTTTCACTCATTCATTTTGTTGTGTGCAAGTAGTTTTTCTTTTTTAAATCAAGTTCCACTAATAGTTAATAATAATAATAATAATAATAATAGTAATAATAATAATAATAATAATAATAATACAGAATATTAATAATAATATGTTTCATACAAGATTAACAATATGAAGGTTTGGAGCACAGGTCAGGTTCGGTTAGATCTTCTGAAATGACATATAATAAATACAGTATCACATTTGACTATTATAAAACTCTGCTCCAGTATTTGCCAAGAAATTGTTTTTGCACTCAATTTAGACAAACTGGAAGGCATGAATAAATCCCTCCATTTTATATTCGCTAATGAACTACGTAATATAATTACAGACAGTCATCCATTACTGGCAGAACCATCGATCGTGTTTCTTCTTTTATGTCACTGTGTGTTATTGTCATTTTTGTAACCGGCTGACTTGCTGCCTGAAAGCCATGTGGCGCCACAAGTGTGTTCAAATCAGCCGAATGGAGTGATGTGTAGAGCAAAATGTGTCACTGACATTGCAAGGCCACCACAGAGTTTCGTTTGAGCTTCCGGGACACACAAAACCATAAAATAAATAAATAAAACGCATGGAACTCACGTAGACTTCAAAGTCTTTGGGTGCCGAGTCGATGTGGCCGGTGGGGGAGTTGTAGCGAGGCAGGTGGTCCAGAGTCACATGACTTATCCTGATGGGGTGAGACAGAGAGATGACCAGGGTGCCTTGGACGCCGTGGAACGCCCAGCATTTCCCAGGGAGCAGCACCGGGTAGCCCTGGAGAGGCAGCAGGCTTCGTTAGCGACCCCGCCTGGGGAAGCTAACGTTTACCGACGGAGCGAACGGGATGCGGTACCTGGATGACGGTGCGCGGGCTCTCAGACGGATACCAGAGAGGGAAACCGAAGAGAGTGATGCAGGCCGAGCGAATGCGATACGTCTCCGAACAGCGCGTGCTGACGATGCTGGCTCCTTCACAGACACGCACAAAACAAGACCAGAGAAACGTCCGGACATAAATATTTAAATATTTCTGGAGGGGCTTTAATTTGAATAAACATCAAACCTAAGGAAGCCGAGAGAGGTGGTATTTGCGTAGTTTGTTGGGGTTTTTTCTCCTCAATATAACAAGATATTTATGTTTTCAATAGTGACTGTTTTCTTCAGATAATTTCTTCCGTTATTACAATTTAGTTTGAGATAATGAGTTACGGTTACACACACATGCCATGACTTACACTGAGAAGTCCTTAGAAGTGGCAGTTAGAATGAAATCAGGCTTAAAACACACACACACGCACGCACGCACACACACACACACACACCAAATCAACTTATCTAAAAAAAAAAAAAAAAGCGATCTGGAAATTAACTTGTCTCCAGAAAACCATCGGGGGAAAGTATTTGTGGTCTCGGCTTCCTTACCAAACAAAGCAGACTTGGTAGAATTTTAAACCTCTGACCTTGAGTCTCAAGAGCAAAGTCAGGCATTCTGTCCGCCTCTGGACGTCCACACTCTGTGCCGTCCAATTTGACCCTGCTTGCTTCCTGTTCCTGATTGAAGAACAGAGCTAACAGTGAGAAACACACAGTTAGGAGTTCATACATCCGTGACGATCTCCAGATGGGTTACCTTGATGCGATCGGTGAGCCACTTCTCCATGGCCAGCTGGAGCTCTGGCGTGAGCTGGTTGTGGGCGGAGTCTGGAGCTGGCGTCGCCTGCATAGAGGACAGCTCCTGGGACAACTACGGCAACAGAGAGGGGCCACAGTGAAACCGGAGCAAAGTGTTGAAGGCGGAGATGCGGTGGGGGAGGGGGGCTTCTTCGACAGTCAGACACGTTTCCGTCTGTTACCTTGGCGTTCTGGGTCTCCAGAGTTTGGATCTTGAGGCTGAGGCTGGCGGCAGCGGAGCGGCTGTCCGTCTGATGGTATTCCATCTGCTTCTCCAGACCAGAAACCTCCAGCTCCAAGTGGCGGCGCATGTCAGAGTCCGTCGCCTCGATCTTCGCCTTCAGGAAATCCACGTCCAGCTGATGTTTCTCATTCAGCTGCGGGAAACAGACACAGAGAAGCTGTTGGGTGTGGACACTGCTGCTCCTTACGGACAGGCAGCTCTTTATTAAAATATTCACACACTCATCCTGCACACTGTGTGCAGACTGTGAAAAAATATTTGCCCTCCGCTCCCAGATTTCGTCTGTTTTGGCTTATTTAATTACTCTCACGATTCAGATTCTCAGAGACATTTTGATATCAAACTAAGATCAACACAAAAAGCAGTTTTAAACCTGCAGCAGCAGAAGAATCCAACAGAAAATCTATCATTTCTGCAGTTTCACATCTCAAGCACCAGAGGGCACTCTAGGTGCAGGTGAGCTAAATTTCCTTTCAAGAATCTTAACAATAGAAACAGCTCATTAAAGGACGTTCAAACAAAAATGGATACAATAAAACAGGACACTGGATTTGGTTCAGCCAACTGAGAATAAATTGACCGTTTTCCAGCTAATTTGTTGATACATCAATATAAAGACAACGCTTTCAGTCCACTTAACATCAAAATTTGTTGATGAGTTAAAATTACACAATTTTGCTTCTTGCTGTTATCATTGTGCCTCAAAAGTCAATGGGTTCATCTGTATTTTTTTTTTAAGTTTCTCCAACAAAACATACCAAAATCACTTTTGAATGCCACTTGTATGCTGAAATGCAATAATGACATTTTCTCTTATTGTCAAGTGATATCTGGCAGCTGAAGAGAAAATGTGTCTAGGTGAAGGTTGTTCTGATTTTGACTTTTCTGGATGTTGTATTAACTGATCACCATAGATGCTGGATAAATGTACCAAAAGAAAAACAAACACAAAACCAAACCAACCTGGCACAGAAGCTGCTCCTGTTTCAGCTGAAGCTCCACCTGGGACAGAAAAACAAACAAATTTAATAAAAATCTGTTTCTGGATCAGGGCTCAGGTCTCGAATCCATTCTTATTTACTGTTCAATACCTTTTGCAATAACTGAATATTACAAATATTAAATTTCTCTCTAGTTTTTTCTCTAATCGATCCATTTCCTTTGTCTTACCAGGAAATCTTGCATCTCTGCTTGTACAGCAGCAGAAACGACACGTGGATCCTGGATGGAAGGAAAATGTACTTTTAATCAACTCAAATGAGAAAACACCACAGTCGTGAGCAAAGCTGAAGCACACGGCATATTTCAAAACAAGCAGGTTGTAAATAAATGTTTGCAACATATTAAAACCATGTTTTGACTGTGATGCCCTTTCTACAAAGTACGTTATGATGTGACAGCAAACACAAACCTTCAGGAAATCCACAGGCAGACTTTGAAAGTTTGTTTTTTTTCACGTCAGTCCACATGGCATTTTGCCAAAAGTCCAAACGTGAGTTGGAGTATTTAGCTAGAACTGGAGTCCACTTTAAAACTCTGCAGAGATCAGGCCTGCATGTGACTCATAAACTCAGATTAACTTTTGTCTGAAATCAGAATTTTTTTAAGGACCTGAAATATTTCCGTTTTACAAAGTAGCAAAATCTAGGCACGCACGGATCCACTTTTATTGCTTCCGACACCGATGTCTGAAGTTTAGTATCGGCCGATACCGATCTGATACGGAAGAACAATAAAACTTTTCTTTTTCTTAAACCCCAAATTGTACCAAATTGCAAATTTATTTGATAACTCTGCACCAGCAAAGAACACAACTAATTATGCAAAATACCTTCACAAGCTTGTTCAGTCGGTGCAAATAGAAGTAGAACAACCAAAATAAAGAAACTGGCAAAACAACAGGTTAACTACCTTTGGCCAAACACGTACAAATAAACTGCAACACACTTTCTTTCAAATGTTTCACAAAGTGCAATTAGAAATTCTAAATATAAAATAAATAATAAAGCATGACGTCGCTCAAAGAATAGAACTAGAATGAGTATATCAACTCTTATGGATCAGCCACATTGTCACAGATACCCAATCTAGAATTTATTTCAATAACGGGAATGATACAGATGTCAATATCGGATCGGTGCATCACTAGTGAAAACAGAACGAATCTGTAAGAAAGTAGAATAGTTTTTTCCCAGCAGCGCACTGTGGAAACCAGCATAACCAGCACAGACACACAGAGAGAAGCACACAAGCCTAGCACCTACCACCACAGACGTGGGGATGGCGCCGGGTCGAAACTCGGGTTGTGTGCGAACGACGAAAGAGGTGAACAAAGGAAGGAGCAACCAAATACCTGCAGAAAGAAATAAAGAGGGAAAAACACAGCTTCAGATGAAGCACTAAGAGACACACAGTAACTACAGCAACATTTAACTGAGGCGTGACGCGTTCGGTCACTGATCATGAACATGAAACATGGCTGCTTTGACCCTGCAACCTCCTCTGATTTCCTGGGGAAAACCCTGCTCTTGATCACTTTATGCCCTTCACAGGACAGCGGCTCTAGCAGCGCTGCAAAAGGGCGTGGCCTGCTTTCATTAAAAGGAAACGTGATCGCAGTCGTTTGAGCTGCAGAGATCTCCACAGATCTGCTGGAATAATGCTAGTGTCTTTAACACGAGGCTGAAACAACAACCAGACAGCCGAGCAGGCTCCAACACGTTGACTGTTAGCGTAACTTACACATGAGTATGATGATGAGCAGGAGAGCAAACAGGAGCACCTTCTTCGTTCGGTCCCAGGTGACTAAATCCTTAACTGTAGGAAAGAGAACTCATGCTTTATTTACAGAGATATTTTTATGAGCTAGAAAAATCACAAGAAGCTATTTTTACATAAGTATTGGCATGTGAACGCGGCTTTTAATCCACAGGCAGACGTTGAGAAGTAATAAAAATATTGGCGTTGTCAAGGTATGCACCATACATGGGCAATAATATCATTTTCGTGCGATGTTATTGTTAGTCATTAACAACCGATGTTTATTTCTGGATTGTAAGGTGTAAAAATCTAGAACGCAATTAAATGTCTTTTTTTTAACTTTTTGCACACCAAAGTATTCATATATATAAAGTAGTTTTTACATACCAAGTCAGAACCTTTGTTGTCTGTTTCTAGTACGCCCATAAATCTCATGCACAAGTTATGTCCCCAAACAAAGCAGCAGATGACAAACCTGCTTCTCTTCTCTTGGCAAACTTAGCAGTTTTGCTAAATACCGATACGATTAAAAAAAACAAAACGAAAAAAAAGACCTCCTACTCTACCTACTCCAGAGGCAAAACATTTTAGCAGAAACCAAGATTCAAAATTAAGTTAATTTAGTTTCGAAATGTCAAATTGCACAGTTATATGGTAAGTGGAAACACAGCGAAAGACGACAAACCTGAAGATGTGACCTGAAGCACTTTTCTGTGTGCATGAGCAGCCATCACTGAGGCTGAATCTATCACAAAGTAGAGACAAATAATTTAATTGGGATTCTCCCGAAACACAAACGCACATAAAAAACACAAAGTAGTTCTCACTCATTAGATTAGAAAAGGCATCACTGATCCTTCTTCTGTATCCTGGACTGAAAGCTGGACCGGTACTGCCGGGTGGGGAACTGGTTGTGCTGGTGGCAGGCGAAGGCTTCCTGTAGGGGCCCTCGGCGGACGAGTACCCCGAGCTGTCGGCGCCACTTTTACTCCGCTCCTTGCTTTTGGATCTGTGCTGTAGGGGCGACAGGGCGGCGCTGCAGTGGCCAGGAGAAGGGCTCCTCTCCGGGGTCAGCGAGTGGCATCGCTTGGACGTGTGGTTCTGAGAAGACGACGGAGTCAGAGCCGGCCGAGGCGTCGGCGCGGTGGGGGCGAAGGAGACGCTCCTCAGGGGCGACAGGGTGGGAGCTCTCCCTGCCGTCAGACCTGGAAGGGAACAGACAGCTGCCTTGTCAGATTGTCCTACTCCCAAGCTTCCTCAGCTTGACGGATGACATGACATCTAATTAGCTTCTAGTTATTATTGTTTTGTTAAATTAGTAATTATTTAGTGTTGCTGTTTTGAAAAGAGCCCTTCAGCAGAGATCTGACGAGCTCTACAACAGAGTTCAGGAGCGACAGAGTCTACTGGCCTGGCTCAGGAACTGGAGTTCCTGGACTGGCAGAACTGCCGTTGCTGCTGGTGCGGGAAGCTGACCTCCGACTTCCGGACTTCTTCTTGAAAACCCTGGAGGACGAATGGGCGTCAGAGAACAATCACACATGGGGCTCGAGTTGGATTTCCAAGCCAGAATCCATGCTTTGCACACAAATACTGGAGATACTTACTTGACAGGATTTTCTCTGTAGGATATGTTGGTCACACTGCTGGAGTCGGATTCCTCATCTGAATGGTAGTAGCCACCAGATACCAGGCGAGAACTCCTACGAGCCATGACTGAAGAGACATGATGAAGAAATCATAGGATTAAGAAAGCTACTTTTTTGCTCAATATATCGGCACCAACATCAGTATCGGCCAAAATTAGTCTGATTTAACATATCTGTTTCAGTTTGACAAATAAAATGGGATTGATATTAGCAACTGATAACGAAATCTAGTCGCCGTTTATTTCTAGACGGGAAAAGGATCGTCGTGATGCACTTGTTTGGTCACATGACAGTAACGTGATGTCGCAAAGGATTGTGGGAAGCAATGGTTAAACTGGTAGTCTGCCTGTTTCTTTTCAAGATGTCAGAAGGGTAATAATATATATATATATATATATATATATATATATATATATATATATATATATATATATATATATATATATATATATATATATATATATATATACATATATACATATATATATATATATATATAGCATGTATATATAGCATATACCCGGCCCAGGGTCTTTCTGCATGTTCTCCCTGTGCCTGGTGGGTTCTCTCAAGGTACTCCAGCTTCCTTCCACAGTCCAAAACATGACTGTCAGGTTAATTGGTCTCTCTAATTATCCCTAGGTATGAGTGTTATTTAAAAATAGAGTGATTTGTATCACTAAACTTTACACAGTAACTGCATTTAATCATATTTTCAAATTTACTGATATTTACTGATGGTTTTGTGGAACAATGGAGACATTAGTAAAAATTACATTGACAATCACACAGATTTTTTTAAATTTACCATCAATAAGTGAAATTTATTACAACAAATCCATGCTCACAGGAAAGACATGCAGACAACACATCCCAGCTGGGAATAATTTATAGTAATAATTCATTCACACAGTCGATAGCAGTGGATACAACCGTAGGAGCAGCAGCACCATGTGGTGGCCCAGCCACAGTGAAACATAACAAAGGAGCAACATTAACCCTGTTAGCGGTGGTGGTAGTCATGCCAACAGTTAAGTCTCTAGAAGACGCTTTTGCAGTTAATCTTGGGCACGTGTAATCCAACTAATACGGCACACTCCCTGGGATTACACAGCAGGAGTATATAAACGCAACTCTACAGGACATGCAAACAATTGTTCCTGCTTTCTGACGGAAACAAAAACACACATATACCTCCTACAGACCTCAACAGAGCTGGTGAACTTAAAGGAAAATATCTCACTGTTCAATCAAAGGAGACTGATAGAAGGAGGGAGCAACCTGTTCTCAGCTGCTTTGTTAGCAGTATAAGCTCAAACATCATTACCTGCCGGTAACACAAAGAATCCCAACGATGATGCAACAGCAACTTTAAGCTGTGCGGTCCGATTGGTTAAAGATGTGTTCGTACAATGAAGATAATCAGCATAAACTGCTCAGCTTTACTCCTGACTGAACCAACGCTCTGGTGGTTAAAACTACATACCAGAGGTGTTGAAGTTACCGTCTTAGGAACCTAGAGGAACGAGCTACAGTCAGCGTACAGCTTCAGTATTACAGATAAAAACTATAGATCAGGCCTGAAATCTGGGGATAGTGAACCTTCAATCACATAAAGACAGTTGCAAAGTTGGTCATCTGTCACCTGAAGAAACATTTCCAGGATTAAAGGTCTAATGTCGTAGCAACACCTAGAAAAACTCATCCATGCGTTTATCTGTAGTAGCATTGATTATTGCAATAGTGTCTTCATAAGTCTGCCTACAAAGTCAATCAGACAGGTGCTGCAGATCCAGAATATTGCTGCTCATGTCCTCAATAAAACCAGGAAAATAGAGCACATCTTCTCAGTCCCTATTCTGGCTCCCTATGGACTCTAAAATACTCTTGTTAGTTCATAAATCGCTGAATGGCTTGGAACAGAAATACATCACAGAGCTGTTGTCCTTGTGTAAACCTCACTCTGGTTCTAGTCTACTCTGCTTACCCGGACCAAACCAAACACGCAGAACCAAACATGCAGAAGCAGCAGTCTGTCTTCATGCACCACAAATCTGAAACAAACTTTCATAAAACTGCAAAAAAGCCAAAACACTGAGTTCCTTTGAAGCAAGGTTAAAACCCCAAATGTTTAAAGTTATTTTTGGTCAGTATTAACTGGGGCATTGAAAAATTCTCGTCTTCATTCCAATGTGATGTTTTATGTTCATAATTTTTATGTTTTTAATCAGGTAAAGCATTTTGAACTGCAGGTGTCGCTGAAATGTGCTGCACAAATAAATACTTCCACTCTACAAAAATTTGCTTCTTTGAGTTTGTGCATCACATAAAATTTAAAATACATTCAAGTTTGTGGCTATAAGATGAGGAAAAGCAAAAAAAGCATGAACCTTAATGTGAGCTCGATTAGAGGAAACACATTAGCATGCTAAGAAGAGCTAAAGTTGTAACTACAGGCTCCCAGAATGGAGTGTGTCATTATAGTCATATATTAATAGACCCATAAACTGGCCAGACTCTTTTGAGCAGAGTTACTCATAACTTGGTCATTCAAACAGGCGAAGACTTAGAAAGAACCCGGTTCCAATCATCAGTCCATCTTCTCAACATGGTGTTACCCAGCAGAGAGACAGCCAACGCTCAACTCACTAGAACGTAACCGAGATGTCCAGCTTTCAGCACAGAAGAAGCTTGTATCGTCTTAAATCCTTACCCCGGTCAAAGTTAGCGGGAATCCTGAAGTCATTAACGTGGGTTTGAATGTGCAGCCGAGCGTCACTACAACACTGACTGAAAAAGAGCGGCAGATGATGACAGAAGGGGAAGCTGTGGCAGTCTCGACCCAACAGACAGGAAGTCTGTATGACAACGTGCATGAACTCAGAAAACACTGATGTCCAAACATTTCATATTGACTAATTAGCATTAGTAGGGAAATGAGACACAAAAGTTTTTCTCCAATGAGATCTTGTCTGGCTTAATGGGTCAATATTACCTTCTGTCTGTTTATCAGCCGCCGGGTTAAAAAAAAAAAAAGAAAAAAGAAGGTAAACCAGGAAGAGGTGATATTTATGCAAGCAGTCAATAATAGCATCATCATGCTAACTGTGCCTTCCAGTGCAGTGGAAACAGGCTCTCTCTCTGTTTACCCTAAACAACAACAGGACAGTGTGTGTTTCTCTTCTGAGCCGTGTCGCACACACACAGACGTGGCTCCACACTGTGGAGTACATCTTCACACTGAAAAATAAAGGTCAGAACTGCTACAGTTCTGACCAACACCGAGGTAAAGTTTAGGCGTTAGAGTTAGATATTAATAGTTTTTTCTCCCCTCTCGTGATAAATACCAGGCTTCTCATGCAATGTATTCATTTGCATGGAGGCCTCCATTGTTTATGTCTTATCAGATTTTCAATGGAGGCAACAGGAGAATGTCATTCCCATACGATGGACGGTAAACTAGAGGTGGGTAAAAAAAAATACTGATTCATCAAGGCATTGTAAATTTATTTTTCTCCAACTGAACATCTTTTCAGGGTGAGACTGAGTCAGAATGGCAATATTGATCAAATATGATTTAAAATTATGATTATGAAAGTGAATGAAAAATTTAAAAATAAGTAATTATTAAGATTATTATCAATTAATTATTTGAATAATACTGATTCCTAAATCAATATTTGAAGCAACATTGAATCAAATGGTAAAGAATTGAAATTGAATTTTTAGATCATCAAGACTCAGCCCAAGCCAAAACTACAGAACATGAGAGACGACATGACGCCATTTCTAATTGAAGCACATTTTTGAAACCATAACACCAATCCTATCTGACAATAGAGATAAGACTGTTCAAAATATTTGGACGCCACAGCAACAGCAAGGAGAAGAAAACCGCTTAGCGTTTCCTTTTCTTAATGCGTCTGAAAATGAGCCGAGGGAAGAGTTTGCACTGTAATTCGTGAACATGCCAACTTCCTCCCCGGTCAGCGAGACCTGATCCCTCATCACAAAAAGCTTAATCTCTTCTTTAAAAGCTGCATCTTGCAAAGCCAACACAACAAATCACCGTTCTTTCTCAAATCGTCGGAAAGTCGTATTTGTAATGAAACGGCGAGACGCCTGTGCAGACGTGTGAAAATGTGAACAGGCCACAGTGTCAGGAAGATGAAAACATTCCCCGGGGGAAAAAAAATAAAAAATCTGATTTAAGTTCTACCAGGGATCATGTGCAAAAACAGACAAAAGGGGACTTTATCCAGAACGGGCAGCACAATCTTTTCACACAAATACATGTGAATACCATGTGACATTACCGCTTTTCTGGCACAGATGATCCGTACCCTTTTCCAGATTTTAGACTGTTGGAACTAAGCCTGTCACAGTAAGAAATAAAGCAATTAATCATGATAGTGTGTTATATAGACTCTTAAACATCATGTATGATGGGAGGAAACTGTTCAAAACTGTGTAATTCCCATTTTTGAACTGTCCTGTTGATATTACAGCCTCTCCAACTTCAAATCGAATCAAAAGCACATTGAAATACCCTAAAAGACATTGAACACCAATTGGGATGAAGGTGGTTCAACAAGCAACTGACTGCGTACCTACACACCCAAGACTTTGTGGTTGTAACATTCCAAATGTCAAGACTTTTTCAAGGCACCAGAAGCACAAAAAAGTTGGGTGCAAAATCTACCTTTGAAGAAGCAAAGCAGAATCCCAAAAAAGTGTCTGATTCAAAGTCAAAAGACAGCAGAACAAAAGTCAAAGGCCTTGTGAAGATGCTGGGTCAGATGACTTGATTGGGCTGAAAGGCCACTCAGCGAAGAGGAAGCCATTACTCCACAACGAACTTAAATTACAGACTGCAGTTTCACAAATTTACAAAAGAAAAAGGCCTTTATTCTTGGAGATATGTCCTGTGGTCTGATGAAACTAAAGTGGAACTGTTTTGACATAATGACTGTTGAAACATTTGGAGGAGAAAAATAACAGGATACTTGTACCCAATCAACACCATCCCAAGTCTGGGGAAGAGCTGGTGCACTTATAAAATAGATGGCATCACAAGGGAAGGACATTAAGCAACAATATTGAAGGTAGATCTACAGACATCAGTCAGAAAGTTAAAATGAATGTATTGTCCAAATGAATAATGACCCAAAGAATTCAGTCAAAGTGGATTCAAAGTCTTAAGGACAACAAAGTCGTTGTTTTGGGGTTGTCTTGATCTGAATTTAATTTGTGGGCTGGTCTGCCAAGTCATGCAAGAGCAAAACCACCTACAAATCTGACTGAGTTCCACCGGGTCTGTCTGGAGGAATGGACCAGAATTCCATCAAACTATTGTTACAAGCTGGTGATAGGAAACCCAAATCATTTAACCGAAGGCATACAGTTCAAAGGCAGCGCAACTGGATACTCAGGAAATGTATGTCAACTTCTGGTTTTAAAGACATTAATCAATAACTCTCTGACATATTCATTTCCTCATGATTGTGATATTTAGGAAGTAGAAATAAGTTTGGTAATTACAAGAGAGGTTGGTCTGATTTAACTATAAGAGGGAAAAAAGCAGATATATCCTTTAATGTGGCGCATTTAAACTTCTGGTTTCCCTCCTCAAATAAGATTAACAGCAAACCAAGCATCTAATGAGATAATGAAATTGATTTTCTCTCTTGGAACACTACTTTCCTTATTTTGGTCTCAACATTTGTCGGCTGAAAAAAAATATAGCATATTCATTTTAACTCAGCAGCAGGCAGAGTGAGGCATTTCTACTGGGTCTGAGAGACCAACTATTGACACTGGCAAAACATGAAGACGGAAAAATGGCACGAGAGAGAGAGAGGTGAAAAAAAGAGAGTGAGAACTAGACTGCTAAAAGGCTAGACAAAAAAAACAAAACAACAACAACAACAAAAAAAGAAGCCTGTCACAAAACAGAAATAAAAGCTGGGTGGGCAAAATGACAAAAACAAAAGGTTAAAAAGATGAAAGAGGGATGTAGACGGGAACTTTTTAGTGGAAAAGAAACAAAACCACAGAGGGCGAGTGAATGGAGGGTAAAGCTGCCAGCCAGAAAAATGGCCAGAGAACATTTAAGTTCAGTTTGAACGGAAAAAGAAGGGGCAGCGGAAAGGGGAAAACATCTTGGAAGAACGTGACTACAGTTGGAAGGGGCAAACTTAGAATGGAATGCAGTGAATTGGCTTTAATGGGGGCCAAACTGGCTGGCAAATAGCTGAGGATGTGGCCAAAACCGCTGGAACAATCCAGTGAAATGTGACTCAGACACACAAAGAAGAAGTGAAGTCGTCTCCTCGTTTACCCTGAAAGCAGCACGGAAGGTAAAGAAGCGCTTGGATCTGGTTGCTACCTAATAAATCCTGCTTACATCAGAGCCGTCCAGATGTTTTCTTCGCATTTTCTCGCTTTCTACAGTTGCATTCTGGATTTTTCGGAGGCACTGGGTAGTTTTCTTTGTTCTGGTTTACAATAAGCAGCAGATGGGCAGCAGGTTTTCAGATTTATTTAGTTATTTTTTTATGGAATAATTGCACTATAACAACCATTGCTATTACTTTGGTCTTTTTGATAACAGAATCAGAATCAGCTTTATGAGGCGAATATTGTGTGCCTGAACAAGAATTTCGACTTCTATTTCGGTATATGATTTTGGAGTACACTGACTGCACTTTTCAAGCTGATCACTAATTTAAAAAAAATAAATGGAAATAAATAAATAAATGAATGAATGAATAAACATTTTCACATATATCAACATCATGTAAAAATGTATTCACAAACTTTACTGCAAAAAAATTTGCATCTTCCTTTATTTTTTAACATAAAAGGTTAAATAAAACGATGACTCTTTAAAACCGGGGACACATTTCCTATAGCAAATATTTATCAAAAACTTTCTTTAATAAAAAAAAAAGTGAAATTTAATAAGTTTTATTTAACTGGATACCATTTTATATTGGTTTACCCAAATTACAGACTCTCTTGTTCTAATACTTAAAAATTTCCAAACAAAAAAGTGATGTGGAAAGGTACATCATCAGACCTAGTAATTTAAGGTTAATTTAATTAAAAGAGGAGTCCAAAGAGGAGTCCATGTATTGTTTAAACCGTGACAATATCGTGGAGATACATTGTTTAATCTTGAAATTCATCAAATGTGGCTATATTTGACATTTGATATTAACCCTCTCCAGGCAGATGTTGCAGATTTGCAACAGCTCAGTGCTACTTAGCTAGTCTTCGCAAGTAATTTCCCTGAGAGTGTTAAAGGTTAAAAGTCTTGTGAATCTGCAACATCATTTTGCCAACGTTTTTCATCTCTTTGTGTTCATTTCTGATTTTTGTGACAGCTGCTCTGTGGCTCTTTTTGGGAATGAATGAATAATTGTGCTTCTAGATTGGAAACCAGACTACTTCAGACCTTGGAGCCATGCCTGGTAATAAGAAATATATTCAAACCATTTGTGTTCCAGTAAGGCACAGCTGTTCTTTTGCTGTAGCCAGATTGGATCTAAATCGGTGCAGTGACGTTCTGCACCAAGTTTTATATCTGTATACATTTATTTTCAGGATGTTTAGTTGTCACATCAATGTGACAACTAAACATATTTCCAGGAAAACCCCTACAGTGGTGCTGCGTTTCTAAGGAAACACCACAACATAAAAACAGATGGCTTTCAGCCCAGGGTGATACATAATAGGGGACTCCACAAGAGGGAGTGATGTTTTTGAACTGTACAAACTTTTTTATTGTTTGCCTATTCAATTGTGTGTCAGCAGCATAGGAAATTATTACTGTGCTAAATTACAGACTGTTTCAGTGTGTTTTGTTTAAAACACACTGAAAATTTAAAATCTTACATATTTGCAACCTGTGGCTCTCTGAACCCTCTGCAATGGCTCTGACTAACTCTAGCTTAAAATGATAAAGAATCAACTAGTGTTTTTAATATAAATGTCATAATAAATGCCAGTTCAAGCAGGGTTTTTTTTTCTTGTAATAAATTACTTTTCCACATACAAATACTGATGATGTTGTTTCAGATCTATTTGGAAACAATGTTCTTTTTTCATTGCAATTTTCCATACATTTAAACACCCAATAGAAGAAAATGTTTTCCCCATATTAAAACCTAAAAACAGAAATAAAATGGGGTTTAAAAATGATGACAAATATTCTTAAATAGATATTTGATATATATATAAGCATTATTTAGCTGGACATGTGGTTTTCAGGGTTTTAAATACCTGCACGTTTATAAAATAAAGCAGCACAGTATCCACAAGTCGGAGTGGTCCATGAACGCAGCAGGCAGCCCAACCGACAAAAGTAGCATCACGAAGAAGAACAATGCGGTGGACACATGAAGCGGACAAAGTGTGTGAAACCTGAACGGAAACCGCTTCACGGCACGAGGAGCGGTTGTTTACTGGGCGTTCATAACTTACCTCGTCATGTAGAGCCGTCTGCCGTAGATAAACAGAACAAGTCGCTAACAGCCAACACAACTGTTAGTTTCCAGTTGCTCAGGAGATGATAATCCTCTCTTTGGAAGGTTAGACGCAACCATTAAGCTTCATTTAAAGCGTCATAATCCCGCTCAAGCTTCTGCTACAAAATACCCGAAGCTAAAATTAAACTGCGTTGTATTTCATTAAGTTAGGTTTTAATTTTGGACACCATGACAGCAGAGTAAAGCTGCGGTGCCAGCACTGACGGTCGTTGGGACGGCTTCACTTCGCCGCTTGTTGACAGTAGTCAAGCTAACAGGCTAAAACAGACTTCCGGAGGAGATTTCCAAAATAAAGGCGCTAGTCTTTATTTTGACAAGTGAAAAGTGACGTACCAGTTAAATTGTAGAAATTTGACAGTGGCACTTTTATTCTTAATATCGTTTGCTTATATTTCAATTGCGGTCCTTCCGCCAGTTTCTTTCTTTTCTTTTTTTTTATTGTAGAGAAATCTAAGAGAGATATTTGTAGTTGACACATAAATAATGTAAAATTTAGAAATGTGACAGTAAAATTATGAAACGGCCTAAGAACCACTCGATAGCATTGCTGCTTTAGAAAAAAAAATGTATGCATTATATCGCTGATGCATAATGTACAGTTTATCTATGTATTCTTTTCTTCTTAGTTTATTTTTGTATCGAAACTGCAGTAATACAGTAAGAAAAATGTTTGTTTTGTTTTTTTCTAAAACTGTTTTAAATTAATAGCCATCAAAGCGTAACATTTGCTTATGTGATCAGACTAAGACTTTAAAGCGAACATCTATATCTCACCGGAAATGTGGACCACAACCAGCCCCACTTCTATATTTATTTATTTATTTACCTGCAGCTGTACACGACCACACCGGCGATGTTGTTCACTTTCAAACTGCTTCCGGTACCGCTTTCGCATTCCCCAGCAGTAAGCAGCTACCAACGCCACCAAACGACGTCACGCTGTTGGGGGTCGGCCGCTGGCGTCCCCGTATGCCAGCTGCAATTTAAACCTTCTGTGACTAGGGGGAGCCATTTAGCTACAGATACTTGTGACAACGCTGTCTCGTGTTTGCTCTGTTTGTACTTGGAAAGTGCTGAGGAGAACCGGCGGCTGCTTTCTGAGCTGCATACTGCGGGAGGTTTCACATAAACATCATCCAGACATTATCTGGGACAACTGGAGGATGGTTATAGCTTTATGATGATGAGATGATGACGCCACCGTAAAGTAATTCCTTGGCACATTAGTTTACAAGTTGTTTTTATCTCAAAAAGAAAAGTGCCTCCTTTGTTCTCTTTTTAAAAGTCGTTTTCATAACGTTGTTCACAGGACCGTTTTAAACCAGAGATCCAGTTTTCAGTCAAATCTACAACGGCGTTCTGGTTTTCTTGTGTTTTTAAAGTGCAGTGAAAGGCACCGGCGCCTTCAGCTGTCGTGCTTCCGTCCTCAACATCGCTGCATGAGGTTTGCATGTTCACCATCTCTATATCCCAGTACTCCGGCTTCCTGTCATAGTCTAAAAAGATTTAGTGCGCTTTACAGTGGATGCTTGATGGAAGGAAATTGACACTTGTTTACAATAGTAATATTAATGTCATTATATGGCATCACGACAGACATACTCAAGATTTATTGTATTTATTCTCCAGAAAACAAAAAAGCAAGCTGGTGATTATTGCCAGTCTATCTTCTGCCCCACAAGACATCAACAGAAAAAGGGGCAGAGCTGTCAGTTACCGGTTACTAGAGCAACAGAACTCTGCCCACTGCCAAGAGCAACAGAACTTAAAACGTCACTAAATGTCTAAAGAAACATAGAAAAAAACATAAAGTCAAAGAGCAAATAGACATGTTTTGACAAACTTCACATTTACAACATTGTTACATTTAACATGTTACATACATACACAGGCACACACCCGAACACACACACAAATATCCCTGACCCTACCTGGTAGTGGGGTCAGGTTCAGTATAGGTGTGTTGTAAACAAATATTTTAGTAATCAAGTAATGTATTGATTATTTTTATGATTAATTGAGTAATTGGATAAAACAATGCATAAAAATATTGATAAATCTGGCATAACACCATTGTTATTATCGGATATCAATATTGGCCCAATTTTTCATTTTTGAGCGTCCCTATAATGTCCCCCCTTCTATTAATAGGGAGAATCCGTATTCTCCCTATTATCTTTTGTTTGCTGCTCACTGCTGGTCAGCTGGCTGAAAGAAGGTGGCTCCAGAGTGCTGAAGGCCTTTAGAGCAGTTCTGTGGGATTCTGCAGCACCACAACAATCACATCCTGACCCAAGAAAAGGTTTCAGTGTTGTGGAAGACATCCGGATTTGTTCCAGTATCGAGGAAAGCTCACTCTTCTGTCATCAACGACTGTAGACCCGTTGCCCTGACATCACACATCATGAAGGTCCTGGAGAGACTCCTGCTGGCCCATCTGACTAAGTAAACGACCACATATCAGAACCCCCTGCAGTTTGCACATTGCTGTGTTGTTGGGAGTTGAAGGCGTCATCCTTCAACAAACCTACTGTCATCTGAGCAAAGCAGATGACAGTGCACTGTGAGGTTAATCTTTGATTTCTTCTGTACGAAGAGGGGGAAAAACACACACATGCACACACACGTACACACACTTTCCGTTGCTGAAACGCCAACACTCCAAGCAGCAGGTACTGTGACCACCTGAGGGAAAACCTTTTAGAAAGCAAAGTGAGGTGTCGCCAAAAACAACAACCTTTTAAGGAACTCCCGAATGGTTTCTGTAAAAGCAGCTTAAAATAAACCTGATCTGACTTTGTCACTGGGCAGCACACAACAGGTGATTTTAGAGGATGTACAAAACTTAGAAATTCTGCCCACGTCTTTCAAGAGGCAGTGTTGTGTAAAATTGACTTTGAGCTTTACATTATATTGTAATGTTAATTCCTCATCAGAACATAGCTGATTCTTTCATGCATGTTTGAGAAATCATTTTAATCTCCCATGGCAATCATTCAGCAAAACGCCTGGTCGGACCGAGCCCCGCCTTTGAGGGTGATGCTACACCTCAGAACTACAGTTTCCAAGCTTCTGAGCTTCTGCATCACTCAGCTCCTTCAGACTAGCCAGCCGCAATTAGCAAACACCTGGCGAAGCTGCACGTCTGCTGAGCTCATTGTATGAGCTGTTTCTAAGTGCAACACTGGTGAAAACATTGTTAAAGGGTTAATAAAGGAGCCATGTTGTGAAGATTTCCTGAAGGCAGAGTTTCTTAAAGAGCAGGAACTCCTTAAAGAGACAGAGGCCCAATTTCAATTAGAAAGTCTAACTTCTTTTATATTCTATATATAGCTTTCTTACAACAACTACTACCAACAAGTATAGTTACTTTTTAATAAAATAGCACCTTGTGCCTGGAAAACACATAACAGTGCCACTTTCACTAATGACTAATCATTTCAGAGCCTCACAGGCAAAATGATTGCGAACACACCGTGCGTCAGAGTGTGCGCCAGCGTCTCAGAAGGCTTTATCGTTGGTCTGCAGTTTCCTCCAGCCGGGGTGAAGGAGCGGCAGAGACAGAGAAACACAATTACACTCAATCATCGTTTCCTCGACAATAAAGTGTCTGTAATAAAGCCTCCGAGCTCATCGCCAGCGCCAACTCCACTGATTTCCAGACGGAACATTTTAATGCTCTCTTTCATGCCCTGGTATTTCCCTTCTCAGTTCCCTTCAACTCTCACAATGCTCACACACACACACACACACACACACACACACACACCACACACACACACACACACACACACAGACTCCCACCCTGCTTATCTGGCAAGCTTTTGCCCCAGACACAATCACAGTATGCAAACAAACAGCTGATGTCATGGGACACATGGACACATACACTAGCTAATGTCATTGGGGTGGAATGTGATCAAAATAGAGTGAGTGAAATGTGGGTGTGGTTGTGTGTGTGTATATTTGAGGCAACAAGGCAGTTTAAGTCGGGGTTGTGCATAATCAAGGAACACGAGCGCAGAGACAGGGAGGACAGACGAGAGGGAGAGTGATTCGTTTTAAGAAAACAGACGGGGGAGGGAGGACACAGCTATAGACAGCGACACACTCTCACACAGACACGCACACACTCAAATGGGCTGAGTCATCGCTGACAATTTATCATCAAGGTCCCACCGGCAGAAAGTACGACAACTTAGTGCAACAAGTTTCACCTCAGAGCCGTTTCTTCCACAGTCTGTCAAATGACAACCACAGACGTCTGCTTATCTAAACTTGACTTCCATTCAAGTCAAGTTCATTTGCACGGCATATTTCAGCGACAAGGCAGTTCAAAGTGCTTCATGCCACAGAAATATAAATACAGTTAAATACCAAGTATTAGACAAGCAACAAAGGTTTCATTTTGTCAAATGCCATCATCAGAATCAGCCACCAAATACATATCAAATGTGTTGATGAATGTTCCACTTACTGCTAATCAAAGGAAACCCTAAACGTGAATTTTTACCCTTGGTTCAAAGGAAGACGGCATTTTGGCATCTTTGCAGTTTTCTGGAAGTTTGCTCCGGATAAGTGGAGCACAGAAAGTCCAGTATGTTCTCCCATGTTTGGCTCTGGTTCTGGGGATGCGGAGCAGACCTGGTACATCTGGGAGACCTGGGATATCTGGAAGGTCGATACGTTTGCCTTCAGAAGTCAATTAATGTGCTTTAAAGAATATTTGTGACTTAAGTTCACAAGACCAAGAAATGCATCAAACAGGTCAGGGACAAAGTCGGGGAGAGGCACAAAGCAGGCTTACTTTGCATAACCAATGATGAAATGTCCATCTCACGGAAAGTTTGCGTTTGACATCTAAACTATTAGTTGTTCAAGAAGAGCAACCAACAAAGAAGCTGCTGAGAGGTCAATGGCGATGTAATTAAAGAAAAAGATGGTGAAACAAAGTATTGGCTTAATGGGATGGAACACAAATCTGAAACACAATTTCAGATTTTCACTTCACAATTCAATAACATACTTATTTGCGTTGGTCCATTGTGTAAAATACCACTAAAACATTCAGATTTTATTGGTAGTGATGCGACAACATGCCCCAAAAATTCAGAGTAGGAATACTTTTGCAAGGCGATGTACCTGTAAGCAAAGGGAGATGATTTAAAACACAAATGATGGATTTTCATTATTTTTACACTACGATGTGGATTATAGCATCACAAAATCGCTCAGTCTCTTGGTGTCG